TACTATAAAAAAAATTGAAACAATAATCGATGTATTTTCTGAAAAATAAACAAAAATAGTATTTTAATAACTGACGGTTATTCATCCTATCCATCCGCGATAAAAAAATTCGGATCCGAACATATTGTTGTAAACCACTCAAAAGGGTTTGTTAATGACGATGGTTACCATACAAATCAGATTGAAAATGTATGATCACACCTTAAAAAGGATTATTGTGAAAGAGCTGAAGTCAAAAAAAAGAATACCTTATCTTTGTAGGAATTTTCCCTGAAAAAACGCTATAAAAATCAAAAAGCAGTAACAATTTAAAAAATGACATTTCTTTGAAATGATTGATCAGCTAAAATTTAATAAATAAAAATCCATTTAAATAAAATCTTCAATTAATTATAAAATTTAGTGCTATGTAAATATATGTTTTGACGATTTACAAAAAATAAATAATAAAAAACTAAAAGTATTATTTTGCCCTTCCCCAACCCCCTGAGAAGAAGGCCAGAATTATACTTATTTAAATAAGAAATGCTTATTTTCTCATAAGAGTTTTACTTAAAATGTTTATATTTATATGACTTTCTTTAAATTTTATCAAAACATTTACAAATATGTTCTTAAATTTTAGTTATATTTGATTTCATTATTTAACTTCGGGCTATATTTAGCTATTTTTTATTTTATTTTTCCAATTAATTATTTTATAATTATTAAAACATTATTAAAAATATTAAATGATTATTTTTTTATTTGTGTAATTCTAATTTAGTAGTGTCAAAAAAAAATAGGAACATAAAAAATTTATTAACTTCCCGTAGGGTAAGTTATTGTAATGGGCCGAAAATCGGAATTGAAAATTTTTACATTTCTCGACGTTTTGAAGGTTTCTGAACGTTTTGGCATACTTCAGAAAAAATGGATGTGTGTGTGTGTGTGTGTGTGTGTGTGTGTGTATGTATGTATGGATACAAATTTTCGTCCACGTTTTCGGGCGTACGGATCAACCGATTTGAATGGTTTAAAAAACATTCGATTCCTATTGATAGGGAAAAGAGCTGATTAGTTTTTGGCGAAGGCAGGTCCAGCCGTTTCGGAAATACGGAGCAAAGAGTGCAGAAAATAGAAATCGAGTTTTTGAGTGAACGGAGCATCCGATTTGAATGATCTAAAAAACATTCAATTAGTAATGATTGGGAGAAGGAGTTATTAGTTTTTCGCAAAGGCAGGCCCAGCCATTTCGGAGATACAGAGCTAAATGTACAAAAAATGGCAGTTTTTGAGAGAACTAAGCGTCCGATTCAATTGATTCAAAGAACTTTCTGCTTGTCTTAACAAAATAATTGATTTTGGAAAAAAAAAATTTTGTTCCATTTTTTTTTTTTTTTTTTTTTTTTTTTTTTTTTTTTTTAGTTTTTTATATCGAAAATATTTCAGATTTCATTTTTAATTCTGACTATAGTTCTAATATACTTTACAAATAATTTCAACTCTGCAATACAGTTTATATAATTCTTATAAATATTGACAATGTTACAATATTTAGAATAATCTATTTGAAAACATTCAGTATTCCACGAACATTTCGTTACGGTACGGGAAGTTCCAGCAATTTGCCTTAAGGCACGATGCCATAATTGCCTCAAGACAGAATTCCACTTACAGCTAGTTATAAATTTTTAAAGATTTAAATTAATTTTGTTTTTGCCTCTATAAAATTAAATCTTTAAAATACCTTTTAAAAATATTAACTTATTTAACATGATCTACATTTCTAGCTAACAAAGAAAATAGATCTACAAATTAACATTCTTGTTGTAAATCTTATGAGAAAAATATTTTTTAAATTGATATTATAAATTAACCTGTCAGCTTAATAGATTTCTTTGTTTCTAAAAAATAAGAACTATGTTTTCATAAAATATTTTTTGAATTTTAATATCTTTTAAATCAAAGCTGTACATTTAAATGATATGTCCTTATGTTTAAAATCAGACAATAATTTAATTAAATCACTAAAAAGTCTTGAACTAATTATTAAAATAAAAAAAGATAAAAAACTTAAATAAATTTTGATAAGAAAAAAAACAACTTTCTTTAAAAACTTGTAATATTTATCATTAACACCAAAAATTAAGTGAAGATATGCATTACAAGACAACAACAATAAAAAATATTTATCAAAATCATGTCCAGATTATTTGATTTTCATTAAAAATTGACATGTTCTCTTTGCAACTATTTAAAAAGATGTTATAAATAAATAAATTCATAAAAATTTCGTCTTATTATTTTCATTCAAATTATTTTTTATTGAGTCTTTCATATTGATATTTAAAAATTTTTATTAAACTAGAATTAGGAACTAAATTAATAATCAAGCTATCCTATTTTGTATTTACCCAAATGCTAATTATTTATGTTTAAGCAACGAGAAAAGAAGGTATAAATTAGAATTTTAATAAAAATACGTTAATTTTACACTGATTAAACCAACTAACGATTATGTTTAAAATAAGTTAATATTTAATATTATTCTAGGAAAATTTTTAATTTTACAAAATTTAGTAAGAATTATCAAAAAGCTGCACCAATTCATGATAATTTTTTTAAAACCTTCGATTTATCTGATAGAAATTTATAGCTATATTTAAAAACTACATGAGTTTAAAATCTTATAATTTATTAACTTTTTTGGTTTGAAAATATGCGAACATCTGTTTAAGAAAACAAGAGAAAGGTTATTTTAATAAATTTTAAGAGAAAAAAGTTAACATATCAATTAGAGTTAAAAATTACAAGTCAAAAATTTGATAGAAAATAAAAAATCATTTTTTTAGATAAGTTGTATTAAAATATAAACATAATTCTCTAAGCATAAAAAATAAATTATCAGATTAATAAAGTAAATTTATGGTTATTTGGCAAAATAATACACCTTTTATTTTTATCTAGCTATACAATTATTTAATAACTTTTATTAAAATTAAATTTATATAAATTCCATCTTAGTCCAAAATCTTATCAATTTACTGTTCCTTGGTTTCAACTTATTTTGAATCCCATTTATATCTGCCATAATTTTTCTTAAAACACCACGCAAAATTTCATAGATTTCTTTTCTTGACCTAACAAAATCTCTTGATACCAAATTTCGAGAATAAGAATAACCAAAGAATCTATCAGTTGCCTCAAAAACTTGAACTAATTCGCTAGCATTAAAATTTCTAATTTGCATTAACTTTTCTTTGACACGCGATTGTTTAAAATTATCACCAATAATTTTCATATTTATATTTTCTAAATCAAATTCATAATCAAAATAAAATATTTCATAAAAATTTTTGAGATTATCAAACGTTTCATCTAAACTTTTAATAAATTCGTTTGTGTATTTGATGTCGTATTCAGGATGATTTAAAAATAATTTTTTAAGGTTTTCTTGTTCAAATTTCTGAAGTTGGCTGAATAAATTTTTTTGGTCGCTAATAAATTGAAGCAACTTTATAGTTTTATCTATCATTTTTTCTGTTGATTCTGTGAGTTTCAAGTAACATTTTTGTAGAATTGGTTCAACTTTTTCAAATCGATACTTACGAGTTCTTTCAAATTCAGAAATTTCGTGCGTGAATTGTTTAAGAAATCTTTGGTAGTTTTCTGATGATGAGTCAATGTTATGTAACTCGTTTTTTTTTTTTTTTTTTTTTTTTATTTATTTTACATGGCTGTGGATCTTGCGATCATTACGCCAGTTATAATTTTACATTATTGTGTATTTATACAGTAATTTTACTATTATCTATAAAACTATATACAATTTTATATAAATCTACATTATTACTAGATATTAATACTTGTGTGTTTACTGGAAATATAATATTTTTTTTTTGCAGTTTCTGATACATATTTCTTCTTGGATTCTCATACATTCTGCATTCCCAGAACATATGATCTATTGTCTCCGGTTCGTCACCACATTGGCATATATAATCTTGGATTATTCCCAACCTCCAGAGATGAATCTTGCACATTGTATGCCCCAGCCTTAATCTTGTAATTGTTGATACGAATTTCCTACTGCTTGTATCATTTTTGAACCAGGTTGTTTGAGATACCTTTTCTTTTGACAGGGCATAAATTATACCCTTGCTTTTTGTTGACGTTGAGAAGTCTTTTTGCCACACATCTATGCTCCGCTCTTTGATTAAATTTTTCAGCTCCAACGCAGGTATTTTTTCACATTGTACTCCAATTTGACCAGCTTCTTTTGCAAGAGTATCAGCAATCTCATTTCCTGTGATACCTGAATGTCCCCTGATCCACGTCAATATTAAAGAATTTATGCCATTATTAATTGCATTCATTTTATTTATAATTTCTATTATCATGTTATTCGATCTTCTATTTGGGTTCGCTATCGCTGATATACTCGTACATGCTTTGCTGTCACTAAATATAATTGTTTTCGTGATGTTTTTCTCCCACGCATAATTTACAGCACAGTATATAGCCACCATTTCTGCTGTGTAATTAGACGCATAATTTGGTAGCTTAATTCTCTTACTAAAATTGTGATATGGCACAAATATAGCGCAACCACAACTGTACCCTGCTTTAGATCCGTCTGTGTAAATGTGTACATATCCTGGCCATCTTCTAGCCACATTATTTTGAAATTCTTTATTTTTTGCGGTATCATTCAGATGTGTCAAGTGAGTTAAATCCATATCCATTACTATGCAATATTTTGTTGATGTGTATTCATTCGTAAGATGATAAATTGGCAACTTTTTATTCATTATTACATCCTCTTCGTATGGTTTCAGCTCATAAAAACTATTTATCAAGGGTGGGATTGGTCTATTTCTCCAATATATTTGGTAAAATGTAGCCTTGCTAATACTTCTAATTGTTTAGGTATATCATCACATGCTCCATTATATTTTTTTATTAAGAATCTATTTGATAGGATCTGCTTTCTAATGCTTAGTGGAGGTTCACCTGCTTCAGCTATTAATGCATTCGTTGGAGTTGATCGAAATGCCCCCAAACATGTTCTTATCGCCGAGTATTGAATCCTGTCCAACTTTTTTGGATATTCGTTGAGAGTGCTCCATATATAAAGTACCACCACAATCTATTTGTGATCTTATTAAGCTTCTATATATATTGAGACAAGTTTCTGGGTGAGCCCCCCATTTCATGCTTGTTATTTTTCTGAGAACATTTAATCCTTTTTCACATTTGCTTAATATATCATCTACATGCTTTTTAAAATTCATTTTCTTATCCAAATTGATGCCCAGAACTTTAATATTTTCTTTTATTTGTATCTCCTGACATCCTATCCTTATTTGTCTCCTAGTATGTTCTTTTCTGTGTCTGGTAAAGATAGCTGCAGAAAACTTATCCTGTGATAAATTCAGGTTATTGTCCAATAACCATCTTCTGCTCTCCTCGATAGCATTGCTCATCGATGAAATACATCTATCCATAGTTGGACAAGATACATACAGATAAATGTCGTCTGCATATTGCAATTTTTTAACATTCGGTTCTGTACTTACTACTTTAAAATCTGCCATGTATATATTAAACTAGTT